ATATTAAGGCAGCCTGATGGATCTGTTAAATCAATGATCTGTTTAAATACCGGGGCAGAAGCTGCGAGTGCAGTGAAGCAACATGGTAAGATTCCCAGAAAAAGAAAATGAAGATTGTTTTTCATACAGATTTCACTAAAAGCTAGTGGAAAAATAAGCAGGGAAAAACATGTACTGAAATACTTAGATTGCTAAATTCTAGTTTAATTCATCACAGCTTTTAGTTGTCTTCTGATTCTTGTTTGATGCAGTACAGTTGTGCTAAAAACAAAGAACAGCTCATTTGATAAGAATTTCTTGTTTTAGCTCATTTAGTTTCTTTAATACTCGCCAGCTTCAGAGTATACAAGCCTAATGTTTCTGTCTGTGTGAACGTCTGGCTTAGAAAACATTTCAGGAGAAAAGTGGTAATTTAAACAAATTGGTGGGTAATGTTATGTAATGGAGTTTGCCTATGTGGTAGGACAGTATATTTAGGGCAACCTGTGTTTTTATACTACAACTCCAGTTTCCTCATCCAGGCCACGCACAATCCCTGCGGCTTTCTTTCCTGGCCTTGTTACTGTTGTGTGATCGACTCAGGTTTAATTTCCAGTCTATAGGTACATTTCAGAACCGGAGTAAAAACCTTTACCCACGCATCCCTGATGTTCTAAAAATAATGCAGATCTAAGTTCAAAATTAGGTGTGGAGATATTTTTTTTTGTGATTAGTTTTAAATTCTACAGCAATACTTAAGTAATCTAATGCTAAAATGTTTGATTCTTAATTCAAAGGAAAAAATGACAGTGGTAAAAGTCCTCTGAGTTTTGCGGAAGCTGGGTTTACAGTTCGTGATTCATGAAGAGTGAGATAAGTCCAAGCTCCTGAATACCCATCATCTCTCCTTGTAGTTTTGCATCGGTCATGGGTTTTGTTGTCCAGAGTTTGGGGCCACTGCAGTATGTATCCTCCACCTTCCTCTGTGGTGTTTAAATGTGTTGCAGTATGAGTCAAGTGCCGATAGAAGCTGCAGTAAAATGTTCAAAGTGGTAATGGAGCGCCATTGACCTCCTTGTTTCCCCATGATGATTTATTGTGTTTGCTAAGCACTTCTTTATTGATTTGTACAGAAATATCTCCAGCAGGTGGGCAAGCCATTAGTGCAGCAGGTATCTGTCCAAGACTGCTTGCTTTCTGCTATTCTTAGGTTCCATTAAGATAGACTTAGATCTCGGCGCTGTCACGGAGGCGCCATATTCTGCTGTGTGAATTTCTCTGGACAGCAGGTACCCAGCAGAGAGGATTTAACTGCCCTGCCCTGCTGAAGAGGTGTTCTGTTGGGGTGTGAAGAGTCTAGGCGCTGCTGTAGTGGGTGGATCCATCATTGCATGATCACGGCCCGAGCATCCTTGATCATTATCACGACTTCCGACAACTGCATACTGCTTGAACTTCTCTTCAGTACTTATGTATTTTTTTTTAAAAACTTGGAAGGCGTGGAGCTGCGGATGTGCACCTGGAGGAGATGTGAACCTTTATGATTTACTCCACTTGCAGTGCATGAGGTGGGAGTCTGAAGCCATGAAGTTTTCATTCGAACCTCTGATTAGAGAAATGACCCCAAACAACGTACCTAATAATCTTAAAAAGGTCTGTTGTTCTTTTCTGGGTGTGCTTCTTTTAACCATTAGAGCTTTGATATGATTTATTAGTGTAAGCTAATAAGCATTTTGCTGTTGTTTTTCCTATTTAGAGGTCAGTAAGCAATCGGACGTCGCCGTTCTTTGTCAGAGCAAGGTCGGTGTGAACGTGTCCTTGTAGAAATGGAAGACTCCACCATCGGTTTCTTGTTCCAGCAGTATTATGCGGACAACCTTACACTTTACTGTCTGAGAGAGTGTGTTATGCGAATGTGGGAAAAAAAAGAAGGCTTATTAATTTCCCACTGCTGGGAAAGAGGTGTGTCTGTTGGTGTTTTCTTCCCAGACTACACTAATAATGAGATGGGTGAAAAAGAAATGTCCCGTTTCTTTGGAATTGCAAGGTAATGTATTAGATGAGAAATCCTATCTTAACATGAAAGAGGGTGCAGGCTGTTCTGTGTTTTATAGATATACTTTAAAAAAATGATATATTTGGTTCAAGGTGCCTAGCAGCAGTGGTAGTTACTGGAAGTTTCTGGGGTTACAAACACAGGAGATACTTTGAGGATGAATTGTTTTGCATACTTTTATCATTACAGTGCAATAGGAACTCAAAGCATCTTTACTGACTGAATCCTTGTGTGAGTTGCAATCCTATGTTGTTTTGGGAGGTTTCTCATAAGAGTATAGTGGCAATTTACTCACCTTCTCCTGCAAATCAAACTTGTACCCACAAGTACTTGCAAGCGTAACATTTCAAAAGTGTCAACACTGGGTTAACCACTTTCTTGGAATGTAGATTTGGCCCTTTAGTCCAAATGTCCTTGGTCCTTTGTCACAGCAGCAACCTCTGGGACTTGTGTGCTTGTGAGATAGCAGCGACATTGAGAAACGCCGTTCTGAGGTGCTTATGTTCTTGTCAGATGAAGAATGCTCCTAGCAAATGAGCTTGTCACAGGAAGGAATATACATGTTCCCTGTAGGATCGCATTAAATAGTAACACAATTGGTAATTCCAAATTTATTAAAACTTTAACCTCTGTTAAGAAACTCAAGGAGTAGTTGACTTCATCATTAAGGGAGTGCATTGTTAGTGGTATAACATTATTCTGCATGTGCACTGATCGCCACCTGAGCCAGATGTTTTTGTCTGCTGTACATATCTGCCTGTCTTTGTTTGGACCCTTGGTTATGCTCTTCTAAGTTATTGCTTTTCACATCCCAGTGTTTTCATGTTTTCCAAGTATTGGATTTCAGATGGCTTAATTTGTTGATGATAATCTCCGAACTTTGACCCCCTAGATTCTGGTTGCAATTACAGCCAGCGTGGTCAGACTGTAATTCTAGAATCTTTCCATGCACATGTGATTAAGCATGTGCTAGTCTCATGATAGGATATGCTTTTAGCAATTAAATGGATCCAGTTGGTAATGCAAGTAGCATATGCTGTAGATATCTTAATATCTACTTTATACCATTTTTGTGGGTTTTTCTTTGTCTCGCATTTTTTTGTGTAACTTTGAAACAAGACTTGAATTAAGACGCTTAAACTTCCTCTTCATATGGTAACTTTGTGCTATAGAATGTGCAAGAAAGTCTTATAAAAGAGCATTTTAAATCATTTTAAAATACTTACATGCTCTTTTTTGGGGTTACCTGAATGAGCATGTTTTGTATCAGCATGTAAGTTGCTGACTTTGTATGCTGAGGAATGGCTATCTGAGTTTTGAGAGTTCAATCTGTAACTCAATGGAAAAAAAAACAACTTTTTTCTGTTTTTGCAATTCTGTGAGAGCAAGAGCATACATTTGTGCCTTTTTCTTCTGTTAATGTCCAGTAGGCTTCAAACCTATCAACACGAAAACCTGCCAAAAAAGACATTTCATAAATAAACTGTTATACCACTTAGGTATGCATAATATGTAAATATAATCAATTAAAAACCCAGCCATTAAAACTGGAGATATCCGAAAAGGATGCAACATTTCACGAAATTGAAATGTTTATAAGAAGGCATCATTTTTTAAGCAAATCATACTGTTTTCTCTATCTGTTCCTTATAATTTGATCTCCATTTCCTTTTCTGAGTTTATTGGTTCAGCTCTTAACAGTGTACATAAATAGGAGTTGCTTACTTGAAAACAACAAAAAAAAGTAGTCTGAAGTAACTGTTGATTAGCTGTTTTAGGCACCATTCATACAGTAGTTCTACTATGCAGTTTCAGTTCTGGTTTTATTCCTTTCTTTACAACTTCAATACCAGTTATCTTCTGTGAGAGAAGACGGTACTTGCCTCTTAACCTAATACTGGCATTCAATCTGTGACTGTTACCCCATTGTGTCTGCTGAAGCATGCCTTCCTTCTATGCGGTAATAAATAGAGGCACCAAAAAGCACTGCATGGGAAAAAAATACATCGATTAAGTTTTATATGAAATTGTTTTTGGTCATAGGTAGCATAATAAGAAAAGAAGTGATGGAAGTGCAGTAGTAGTTAAAACGTGCCTCACATGGAGGACTTCTTGCTCTGACTGTGTTGGAAGGTACTGGAAAGGTGAGCATCACAGCACTGCAGTCCTGGGTTCAGTTTCAGACCTGAGGTGCCATCTGTGTCAGTTTGTATGGACTCCCCCTGTTCGTTTGGGTTTTTAGTTTCCTCTCACAGTCCAAAGACATACCAGTAGGAGAACTGGCTTCTGAAACAGCTCGGCTCAGTGTGTGTGTGTTTGCGTCTGTGTCTCCCCTGGCGTCCCATCCAGGGGGTATCCCACCCTGTGCCAATTGCTTGCCAAGATAGACCCCGTTTCCCCCCTGGTTTCAAAATGGATGGATGGCATTATTCTTTCTCATTTGAGTTGGTTTTGGCATGTGTATTTAAAAAAATAAGAGTGTGTTTTGAATACCGATAACATTTTCTTCACCTTTTGATTATTTTTTGGCAACCTGCAACTTGCTTCTTAAATTTTGCACAGAAGTTACATTTAGAAAGTCTGGCCATATTGTACGCAATCTAAAATAGAAACAACAGACCAAGAAAGAGACACATTAGCATAACCAGGGATCATAGTATTTTATGCTTTCTGAGGGAGCGGTGAGCTTACTCTTTTTGAACAAAATGACACTATTTTTATCCATCTTGGGGAAGCCGGAGCCTGTCCTGGTAAGCAATGCATTGAGGTATTTAAAATATAAGGGTTTCCTTGGTTAAGCAGAAGTTTCAGACTTTCTTTTTCCAGCACTTAAAATTCACATTGCAGAACTATGTTTTCTCCCTGTACAATGTAGCTATTATAAATTAAGTTACATGTTGTAATAGTGCCTTTAAAATGTTCTTAGTATGCAGTGCGTTGTCTGAAGTATTATTTCCTCTTTTAGGCATCCTTCTTAACAAAGAAATTAAACATTGGAGGGAAAAGAGTTAACCTTGCAATATGGGTAAGTTTTTTTTTTTACACAGTCTTTTTTTTAACCTCTGAATTTTTCCTGAAAATGTCACTACCTAGCAAAATAAGACAAGCCTGCCATCTTGAGAATTTTCAGCTCTGGTCCTCCTAAACAGCACTTGACAACTGTTTTCTATCTTGCAAACCTTTCTGCTCCTGAAATAAAATATTGAGCAGGTTATACATGAAGCCTTTGCTGTGTTTGGTTGCCAAATACTGTATTGTGCTTTTATTTTTATTTAAAGATCAGGTTAGGCCTCCTGAGTCACAGTTTACATACAGATAGCATTTCTATTCAGCAAAGAGCCAAGTAAATGTCACTAAACATTTTAGTAATGGATAATATAGAGCATCCAAGTCTTTTCAGAAAATAGGCACTCCTTGTTTTTCAGTACAGTAGAACCTTTTTTGTCTGTTCAGAATATAGAATTTGTCGTAGGGTATCACTTTTTATATTTAGCTGTGGCTGTTTACTGATGTGATGTGCTCACTCAGACCTTTTTTTACTGTGGGATTTAATGGGGTGACTCTAGGTGTTGGAGTTATCATCTTTCTTTCTTTCTTGAATACAGGACACTGCAGGCCAAGAAAGGTTCCATGCCTTGGGTCCAATTTATTACAGAGACTCCAATGGAGCTATTTTAGTGTATGATATCACAGATGAGGATTCTTTTCAAAAGGTAGGTATGACCATTTTTTTGTTTCTATATTGATAGTTCAATTTTTGTAGGGAAAAAGTGAATGCAATAAAAATAAGGGCTGGAGTGGAAATATTTGAAAGGTAGCCGAATGGGGAAAAATGTGGCGCTACAAAACTTTTTTTTTGTCTTTTAGGTGAAGAACTGGGTAAAGGAATTAAGAAAAATGTTGGGGAATGAAATCTGTTTATGTATAGTAGGTAAGTTTACACAGTAAGAGTCTTTTTTAATCAGGCTGTAATGTTAATTAAAGAGCATATTGTACATTCCATCACAAAATGCACTGCAGCCTGCTTTGTTCTGGACCCTGTAGTGGTAATACGTCTTCAGAGTCTTCAAAGTACCTGCCCATGTGGCTATTGTCCCAGGCATGACGAGAAGGGTACATTGTGTGGTATCACAATACATACCAGAGTTACAAAAGTATCGCTGCATGACCTGTCTATGAGAAATGTTGATATAATAAACAATGACATGTTGATTCAACATCCCAAAATAACTGCTCCAGTGGTAAGGTGAAGGTTTCTGTTCATGAGTTTTTTTTAAAAAGACTTCATACATTATAGCTTCAAGAGGGATTTTACTTTTGTGAAAGTACTGTGCAGTTTCTTTTTTATGCCTTAATGTGTCGGACAGTGAATGTGTCCGATTTGGCTGAATACATTTTTTTTTTAGTTTGAATCTTGGGCTTGGAATTTTTTTGAACTTATTGAATGCGTGAAGTAGATGAATTATTTTTTATGGGGTTGATGTTACCTTATTGTGCTGTTTTTGACTTATTGCTGTGCTTTTAAACCTTGGAATAGGAGGTGATTCTTCACACAAAGGGTTCAGGGAGCCATGTTTAAGAAATTTTGGAATTCCTCAAGAACGAGTTGGATGAGTTCCTCAGATATTTCGTTTTTGATTGGAAACCAAACGAGTTAGGCCTAATGGCCTCTTTTCACATGCAACCATGAACCTCAAAGAAGCATGTTCAAAGTTCTGAGAGTCATCCTTGGCGCTGTTGTGTGTTCCAAGTATTCATAATTTGTGTTAAGGTGTGCCCATTATTTTCAGATTCTGAATACTGTTAGGCTTTTTTGAGGTACAGTATGTGTGAAATGCCAGGCAGTTTGTTTTAAGAAGGATCCATATGTGGTTCAAACAAGCACTTTCTGCGAATATGTATAGGTGACCTCAGGCCAAAGGTGATGTTTATTGGAACCTCAAATGTTAATGGTTGTGTGACAGCTGTGTATGGTTTAAGTTCAGTTTTAAGATCAGTATGATATTGTAATAAGACCTCTTTTGCACTGTTAGCAGAACTCATTTAAGTAATTTTGGCTTGCTTTTGTCTTTATTTCAATAATGTACGCAAGACATTTGTCACCGATGTACATGGTGGAAACTTCTCTACAATACTGTTAAAATAGTCTTTGAAGTGAATGTCATTCAGTGGTTTTCCCTTGAGCCTTGATTATACTGCTATGGCAGCGGTCAAAAGCAATGCATTTCCTGTATTAAATCCTTCTCTCTTGTCAACCTTTTCATTCAAAATGGATAGGAAAGGCTAGAAAATGGTTCTGCTGCTAAAAATTTTGTATGCCTTGTGGGCTGAGATGGTCAGTGCAAATTCGGTTTGTGCCCCTTGCTGACACTGGCTGTGAATTCCTATCGATCTTGCTGGTGCTATAGTTGTGCTGGGTAAAGTGCGATGTTGGATTCTTAATTGTTTTGATCTCTGTTCCTTGTCACTCACCTGAGGGAGAGCTGTTGCTACTGGCAGTGTCTTCATCCTCAAATAGGAAATAGATCCTCTAATACTCGTATGACAGATTAACAGTCTGGAAACTGTGGCCAAGGTTATTGTGCTTATTCAACAGTGTTTTGTGTTCAAGTAGAGTCAGCACTGCCTGGTTTGTAGAGTGGTTACAGTGGTGCTTCTAACTGAGAAATAGTTGCTAGTTCAGACGTTTGGTTCTCACAATTGGAATGTGAGAATTTCACATTCATGCATTTCACATTGCATTGGAATGCAATTTCTAAATCTGAATGTTTAAAAAAACAGCAATAATTCAAGGTTTAATTGGGAAACTGCAATCCATTTACACTCATCTACAAAATTTGTGATACATTGCTTTTTGCTTGTTTGATTATAGGTAACAAAATAGACCTTGAAAAAGAAAGACATGTATCGGTTCAAGACGCAGAAGGGTAAGTTTGAATTTAATTGTGGATTGTGCAGTTTAATCGAAGCAGTTATAAAGACACAACATTTCATTTTTAAAGGAATAGTACATTTTTTACATGTTGCAAATGTAAAAAAATATATTTTGTTTTGGATCTTCAGTTTCTTTCTGCTCTTGCTGATTTTCTAATTTTTCTTTTTGTTTTCTGTCTTGTAAAAAGTGGTCGGTCATGCTGCTCTCAGGATAAATTCAAAACATTAATTTTAAAAAAATAGAAATAATGAAAATGTATGGTTTCATAGAAATGCACATTCTTCACCCTTGTAACATTACACTGGATGTGAAAATTGTGTAAGCATTTGAGATTGTTTACTTTATAACAGATGGTCACTTTGTGGAAACGATCAACTAATTCTTGGCACTTTTCAGTTCAACACAGTGTTCCAGGACATTTCAAAACTATATCCTTTTTTAACTATCTGGCCATGCGGCATCAAAATATAATAGCTAGATAGCGTATAACTGAACTATAATCTCACTGTAAGTGGTCTGGCCCTACAGTGCATGAGATCAGCAAAGTGCCAATCCTTACATTTTCCATACTGCTGTAGGTTGAATTTCACTGCTCACAGAGTACAATATTATGAATACAGTATTTTATAATAATGTGGTTTCTTATTCAAATGTGTGAGTTGCTGAACTTTTCTCTTTTACTTGCAGGTATGCGGAGTCAGTTGGGGCAAAACACTATCATACGTCAGCGAAACTAAACAAAGGAATTGAAGAATTATTTCTTGACCTTTGTAAAAGTAAGCAAATACCTGTTTCTGACTTGTTTTTGTATTTGAAAGGACCATCTAAAATTTCTTACACATATGTAAATACTAATTAGACCAATGACTTTCAATCTAAATGTACTAAAAGTACTAAAATGTACTACAGCCTGCTTTGTTCTGAACTCTTTAATAATATAATGGGGCAGAAGACTTTGATACCTGTGGCTATACCAGGCATGATGAGAAGGGTGCATTGTATCGTATCGTAATACATACCAGTTACAAAAGTATTAAATAACCCGTCTATGACTGTATAATATCTGTCTAAACATGCCCGTCTAATATTTATATAATAAACATAAAGCTAAAAATAATGTGTAATAATAGCTGGAACGGTTGTAAAGTTAAGACTTTCAGCTAGTAACTTTTTGCCAATATCATTTTGATTGCCTTTTCCATCTGGATGTACTAGGTAGGAGGTCAAAATCCAATGAACATAACACTGCATCTAAGTCTCCATCTTAGAAAATTGTTGATTCAGTTTGTACAACATGAATTGTATTGAATATCTGTAAAGTCCCACCTTTTATAAAGCTTAAAGAATGTAACCCATTTTTAAACCCAAGGTTTTGACATTGCATACAGATTAGCAAGAACATGTTGAGACCGGCTTTGATGACACACCACCTTAAGTGTTTTCTTGAACTGCTGTTTCAAAATAAAATAAAAAATCCATTATGCAGTGATATTATCAGCATGTTGAAGATTATAAATATTGGATACAGATCTGTAACCTTACAGACAAGTGTGCCTGCGGAATATGCTAATGTCTATATGCTATGAATAACATTTGAGCATATGTGCTTGATGTATGCTTGTAAGGGTGCAAACTACTTAGGCAATGTAGTTGTTTCATTCTGGTGTTTGTGATTCAGAAAGGAATGGCATGATGACAAGATTGAGAACAGTTTGGGCTTGTCAGCAAGTAAGGTGTGATCCTACCAAAACGTTTGCAGCATGTGTGATTGTTTCATTCTTATTTCTAGTGTGTGCCAGTTACTGGCCTACCGCACTGGCAGGTATCCCAATTTTCAATGGATTGATTGGCGTCGAAGAGTGATTTATTTTAAACTGTCTTGTTGGTGCTTCTTTTAGCACCTGTCTTTGCAGGGAGATAGTGTGCTTAACGCACTCACAATAACATAACACCTCACAAAGTGTGTGAGCAGTGCTAATCTAACACCCTTGCGGTGAACATGGATGATGATGGCAGCTTTATTCACTGATTTAGAAGTTTGTCTTGTCCAGGACTGGAACAGAGTACCCAAAGCACAGTAGAATACTTTATGTGCTGCTTCAATCCATGTGCTGAAGGGTGTTCTTCCACTGTTAATTACTGGCGGACACCGTTATAATTTCTGGAGAAAAAAAATTCCTGAAAATTTAAAGACGGACATCAGGAAAAAAAGAAAATAATGTCTACATTTAATGCTCCGTTTATTTTATAAAGGGTGGATAAGTAAATGACAAGCAGCATAAAGTTATGAATGACACATCCGTACAGCTGCATGCATTTCCAGCTTGGTATTGCTGTGATTGCTTGGATTAAGTGTGACGTGAAGGAAAAAGTTTTTATTTTTCTCTGTATCTTTCCGTCAACAGGAATGATTGAAACTGCGCAGGCAGATGAGCGGGCGAAGGGGAATGGCTCCAGCCAGTCAGGAACGGGGCGGCGGGGGGTACAGATTGTGGACGATGAACCCCCAAACGCAGCTGCAGCTGGGGGGGGGTGCTGCTCTTCTGGCTGATTTTCGGGACTGTGGCCCTTTCTACCACCTCATTTACCTGAAGACTGCCATATTCCTAGTCGCACGTTCATTCGCCCCCCTGGAGTAATACAATTAACAGTATTTTCACGTAATCACATTTATAACACTGAAGAGACTTATAAAAGTAGTGGAATGAACTGACTGGAAATTGGCATTTTACTCTGCTTCAGTTGATTAACGAGCAATTACCAGTGGCCTCCCCCTATTGCCCCAGACCCCCCTCACCTTCATCATTTTTATTCTTGACATGGATAATGGCGCATGTAGAATTAAATTCTGTAAAAGCTGAATTTGTTTTACTTTTAAATCAGATCTTTATTATTTAATAACTTATGTGTTCTTTGGAAATCTATACCCGTTGCAGCCCTTTGTGTTCTTGTGGTAAATTGTGGCAGTTCTAAAGTATCAGCTTTTTTCATTTACATTTATCAGATAATCCACATACTATTTTTGCAGGTTTTTGCACTGGCCCATCACTATCAATGCTTTGTTATACTGTATTTCACCTTGTTTGCTGAGTTGGTATATATAAAAAAAAATACATTGTACAATACTTATTAAATATTTTATCTGCTTTTACAAGCTTTGGGAAGAATACGCAGGTGTAGAAAAGTGTACATTAGTCATGTTAATGATTGTAAAATGAAAATAACAATTGTCGGTGAAAGCACACTTTTTTTGAATTGTAATTTTTTTAACTGCTAGTACCATACATGTTTTGTAATGGAACAATTATAATAATTTACAATGCATAGGTGTGAAAAGCATTTTCATTATTTTTTCAGTATTTCTATATTGGCGTACTTCCATTCAGATTCATACCAGTTGCACATGGAAATTAGTAGTTGTGTCTACTTCTGTGAAGCAGTTTGGTTTACTCATTAATACCATGCGTATGGTTACAAATGAGCGGAGGCCATTTGGCTTACCTAGCTTGCTAGGTTACAGTTACGAGTACTTAGTGATCTAAGGATCTCGTTCAGCCACTTTTTGAAAGAAGCCAGGGTATTAGTTTCAGCAACATACCATTGTATACTCCCACAACACTCTGTTCCTAAAAGTGCCAAGTGTCCGTGGTTTTAAATTAGTCTACTTCTACTTTCAGTAGTTGCTACTTCCGTCCTTTGATTCGTGATTCAGTGTTGATTCTGAAGAAGTCCGTCACGTCACGTTGCTTGTCCTGTGTTGCCCTTGAAGAATTTGATTTCTTAAGCCTTTTTGTAAGGTGGTGACAACAAGTGCATGCAAAAATTCTAAATGTGCAACTGTACAATTTTAACATCTCTTGATTTCTGTTTCTGCGCTTTAGCTATAGGTCTACATTTGTTGCTTTTTTTATTGCTTTACCCAAGTCTCTAGAAGATGTAAATGAAGCTTTACAGAGAACACCTACATTTTTATCTTGAGTTGCTTCAAGCTTAGTGTTTTCTATACATTCATAATGTGTACTACATTATGAGTCAACATCTTTTCAATTCAATATTACATTTAGTATGTGTAATACAGCACGTGGTGCATGTTCAAACAGCTGCACTAGATACAGTAGTACTGATATTTAGTATAGGTAAGAAAGAGGACCAGAGGAAACATACTGTATGGATTCTCTATGATGACCGTTTTTATCTGTGATGACCTGGAAGTGTAGACATTTGTAGAATATTTGCATTAAGCTGTTAACTTACCCACCCAGAGGCATGTGTTCCCCATGTTCATGTGAACCAGATTTTCCACTTCCACAGTGCACAGTGGAACATTCCAACATTTATTGTTTGAATAAGCCTGATAACTTTATAAACACCTAATGCCTTTACCCCACCAGGTAGTGTATTACTTGTCATGTCCCTTAGGCTTTTTGTTAAAAGCTGCCTGGAACTGCGTCAGTGAAGAGCAGCCTGTTCAAAGAATGTTTTTCATGAACGGATAGATTGGAGCTTGAGCACCCATCCGTACATTTTGGAATAGCTTTATCGAATTCAGGATCGTGGGGGAGCCAGAGCCCATCTTGGCAAGCAACAGGAGAACAGCAGCTTGGACCTTGGACAGGATAACAGTCCATCACCAGCCACGCACACTCACACTATGGCCAATAAACATACCAATATGTGTTTTAGACTGCGAGAGGAAAATGGAGCATCTAGAGGAAACTTTCGTGCAGATGGGGAAGACATTTAACATCCATGAAAACGGCACCTGGAATTGAACAAAGGGCCCTAATACTGTGAGGCAGCTGCCTGGAGCTTGAAAAGTAAAGTTTGAATAATGCGAACATTAAGAAAAAGGGATCAACTACCCTTTATAAAAAAAAAAAAATTGATGTCTTCTGCAATTTTTAAATTTCTTTTAAGGTTGAAGGGTCACTTGTGTGCACACTGAATTATGAATTTTAATATTTACATTTGGAATTGGAAGAAAGGTAGCCTGAAATAAAGGATATAAATTGTCTGCAGAATAATGTTCTGAGGCGTATAATAATATGAGACATTCCGGCTCACTAATGAATTTGGGGGTAACTTTCACATCCTTTATGTAATTATGTATCTTCCTTCTGGTTCACTCCTGGCAACTTAGAGAATGGAGAGATGTGCTCCCAATCAACAACCTTATAAACTCTTACAGTCCTCTTCTAGTTTTTTCACACACTGTCATTCACTTGAGGATTTGTTCTAGAAAGGTTGTTGCCAGGTCTGCAGTGTGCTTTTTGAGGGTACCCCAGATATTTCCAGAGATGTTGAGTTAAGGCAAGATCACAGGCCACTGTGCCCTGCTCATCTTGGGAAATTTTGGGATTTAATTTTCTCAGATTGAGCTATATTGTAATGCATATACCCCTAAGTATGATAAATGAGAGGAATTAAGGACACAATATTCTATCGTTCTACTTTGCCAGCTGTTCTGGACCAAGCTTTTCACTGGCCTTGGATGCTCGTGACAGCATTCAATTCCCTGTGTGTCTTGTGTGTCCCCAGGGAATTGCATTTTTTTTTCCTTATTCTGTTGAGTCAGGTCATGAGTGATGGCAGTGTCAGCTGCTGCTTATGGTTGAATAATAAGGTAATGCTGCCTTAATTGAAAAAATGTTTTTTGGCATGTTAATCCCTGATGTTTCTTCCTGAAACAAGTGTTTCACGAAATTAAAGTTTTGTGTTTTGCGTTTTCTGGTTATCTGTGTCTAGCTTAATTTGGATTATCTTGGCCTAAAAACCTTTAAGTCTTTTCATTTTCCCTGAACTGTCCTAAAGTCTTCAAGCTCCATTTTGACTAATAGGCTCACAAGCCAGAAGGTAATTGGAAATGGGCAGCTTCCCTAGCTGAAATAGCTCCCTGCATCTTGGAACCAGACCATGTTTTCTCTCTTTTGTTTGTAAAATGCTTCTATGTTAGGAATTCAGAAATGTTGTCTGGTAAAGGTCCAAACGTAAGTGGCAGGTGGTTCCAATTTTTACATTTGGTGCCTTACAGATCTGCTTTTTGTTACCTTTCGTCACAGTGATTGGCTCCAGTTCTTGCCATTGCTGATAAGCTCTCATGAGGAATTTGAACTGTTAAAAGGAGCAACAAAAAAACTGCCGGTGAATAAAACAGACGTGCTGTATGAATGACATTTCAACTCTAACTTAGTCATTTCCTTACTAATACCTCATCCAATGATAAGTCTGAAGCTGTTTATAAATAAAAACCTAATGGGTGAGACAACATACTTGTGAACCAATAGGTCACTAGAAATCCTAACTGCTGGACTGGTTAGTTAAGTAGATGCTCGTTCTGGAAACTGGTTGAATTTACAGCCCAGAAATTTACAGTTTCTTACATACATGATCTGCAGGGCCAAGTCCAACAACTTATTCCAATCAATCATTTATGGTGTCTGGGTTATGATGTTTTATACCATGGGCTGCTAATTGAGTATACTTGTTGAGTGTCTTCCCTCATGCCTCTTTCAGGAAAAGTAAGGATGGCCTATATGAGTATGTGCGCAGGAGCACTGTTTCAGATGAAGAGCAGCAACATTCAACACACACAGCTAACGGAGTTCTATGATAAAAGAGAAGCAAAGCTGAGTGACCAGCTGGAGTGTGAGCAGAGGATGAAAGGAGGGTCTTCAGAGGGCTTGGAGATGGGAGGGGGCAGACTGATAAAGAGAGTGTTAGGCAACGATCAGGATCTGAATTAGTGTACAGCATGACAAGAGGCAAAAGAGCCAGCGAATCAATCTATATAATATATAATAAGCGCCAAAAATATGTGATAAAGCAAGTTGCTCTGCTGTTTTATTAGTACAATTTGCTACTAAAAAGTATAAAGTATACATTTTCTCCTATCTCAACCAGATGACACAATTAGTCTCATAGTGGCATTTCAAACCTGTTTCATTCTTGCCCATTTACTCAATTAGGAGGGACAACCTGATCTAGGTAGTGTCTGGGTACCCACTACTTAATGATTGACTTCACCATGCTCAATTAAGGATGAGATGTCTTTATATCTGCAGACCGAACACCTGACCTTGAACTCACAGAAGCTTAGCACAATGTTGGGCATGGCAAAAACAGACTAACGAGGGACACATCTGGGACAGGACAAACAAAGCGAGTGTATTTGGGTGGTAGATGACAGAATGCGTGATGGTTTCCTGAGTTACGATGATAACCAATAATAAGACACATTTGTTAAAATGAATAGCTGTTTGTAAAATAAACAGCTTTGTCACGCAAAAGAGGTGGACATAAGCAGCTGCGTCTGCTTTTGATTTTTGAGAACTGTTTGTGTGCTGGTGGACTCGGTTGCTGTACCATCTCTCTATCTGCAGATCGAAGCTGGCTCTGTTGAAGCCCCTCTCTCAAGTGTTCTGATTCCTGATTTAGAGTCCATCAATATCCTTCTCCTGGTCTGTGCCTTTATACAGTTTTATCCCCGAGTTGTTTTGAAAGCTCCTTGGTCTTCATGGTTGCATCTTTGCTTGAAATGCACTGCCTAATAGATATGCAGAGAGTCACTACCTCCCAGAGACGACTGTAAATCAAGTGAACTGCTGTTATTGCATACAAAGGCCAATCAGCTCATCATTGTAATTTTGTGTATATTATTTTTGGTTTGCCTCGTCAGAGGATTTGGATATTATGTAGTCATGACTTTTCCATTTTTACTTCATTTTACTGTACTTCTGAAGTTGAGTAGATTGTGTATATGACATACGTTTCTGCTTCACAGTGTTATGACTGCAAGTTCTAAAGCAACAAAATGTCAGCATGGAGCAAGAGTATTGATGCTTTTTACAAGGCACTAAGCATAGAGTACAGAAGAAATGTACAGTATGTATACTATTTATAAAACCACTGTTGATAATAGACTGTTACACTTAATTTCTCCTGTACAGTACATATAGCAGAATTATAAGGATTTGAGCTTTTTGTTTTAAAGAGATACAATATATATTAATTGCACTGAAAATAATGTTTTGAAGGGATCATGTTTTAGGGCCATATGAAGTAAAATACTTTTTAAACAGACAAGGGGCTATTCTGTGTTTGGAAGAAGACTACAAAATTGCTTTAATTGCATGAAGAAAAGACTAATGATAAATGACAAAAGCTCATTTTATACTCTGTTCAGTTAGTTTTGCCCATTTGAGTGTTTAATCAACTTCTCTTTGATACATTTTCGGATTTAGACAGTTTGAAAAAAATTTTAATGTCCATGCAAGTATATGTATTTGTTGACAGGTCATTCAGAAGCAGTGTCTCTTCTACTTTTTTTTCTTTTAAAATGCTGTATACTGCAGATAAGGGGCTTATTCAGTGAAGAATGCACTAGCTTCGGCAAGGCGTTTTAATGATCAAAGCATCTTCCCACGTTCCGTGATCACTAGAGTGATGATTCAATTATTGTACCCCTCAGTATGTTTACCTGGTCGTTACAGCACAAAACAAGTAACATACCAGCTGCAAAAAGAAAAGATTTAATTTCTCACATTATGTGAGGTCTCTTCGATCACTGATTTTGGGTAAAGTGGACGTTCTCTGTGAGTTTCCGGATATGTAAGGGAGGAGAAGATGTTCTTTAATACATCAGTCCCATCCAGTTTGCTGCAGTGGTCCTCAGCCCTGGTTCTGTTGGATCCTTGCGTCTGCTGGCTTTATTTCCAACAGTCTCTTAGCCTCCAGTGCTACCCGGTGCCTGTAACTGACCTGTTTACTGGTTTACTTCTTTTTTCTGAACTCAGTCTGTATTAGTATCAAGAATACCTTTTTTAGTGTACATTATTACCAACACTGCTAGCACACAGAACCTTAGGCCGTAACTTTTCAACTTGCCAATTAGAAATTTACTTCCTTGTTTCGGACTGAACAGCTCTCAATTGGTAATCAATTGATGATGAATGGAGAGCAGGCGAGAGTGACACTGTTTCTGATCACTCCCACACTGCTTTCCTTCTTAGGTCCCATTGGTTATATTTCAGCTTGCTCACCTGAGTGAGGGCAGACTGTAATTAGCACAGGGTTCATACCAATTACAAATCCCATTCATCTTTTTGAGAGCTGAATGCGATTTTCTAAAAGTCCTCAACAGAAAATTAAAATGAGTTTCATGATTAAAACCCATTGAAATGAGCCTGTGAAATCTCCCAGGATGAAGATTAAGAACCACAGCCTTAGATAACGGGGGCTTATTACTAATTAAAATAGAAGCATATTCATGAATTTTCAGTTGTCAGTACCGTATTGCAAATTAAGAGAAGGCATTTTTTTTATTAACTCATGGAGACATGTTACACTTTAATAACATAATATATAATAAAAATCCTCCATTTCTGCAAAAAAGGCAGCAGTTTGGTTCTTTCAGCTGTTCTTTTGTCATTTAAGTTTGTGTTCAAGTTGAGGCTTAGTTAGGTTTGATTTCCTGCTATGAAATGTGGAAGACCTGAGTTCACTGTAAACCATTTCAGAAACTGCTATTATCCTGAGCTCTGCTCTGGTGTAATCTCTCACATGTCTGAAACAGTCTTCTGTTGACACCCGTGATTTCTCGTCTCATATTAATCCTGCTGTAGAGAAGTGGTTTACCAAAGACACTACTCTTGCAGCATATTTTGCTATCTATATGACATTTTGTTTCCTGTGCAATTGGTAGAATAACAATAGTCCCTGGTATTGTGCTTATAGTACCCGTGAAACATATGGGTTCTATGCTCATATGGTTTAATATAGAACTTTGTCTTTATTAGAGATACAGTATGTTGATTATGAGATACAGTATGTTGTCTGGATGGATGGATTTTACTTCAAGTAAAAGGACAGGTTGATATGACAATTGCACTGCATGGGATGAATTTTGTGTTAGACTGTCCTAACCAAAGATAATTTTTTCCTGGATGGAAATTTGCCTGATCAAGTGTAAAACATGGCTCTTTGTTGCTGTTGTAGTCGGAAGAGAGTTACTTCTGATTGCCACTTTCTAAATAAAATTTAAAAAAGAAGAAGAAAGCAGAGGAATTTTGGATGGCATAAGCATGCATCCCTTACAATAAATAACAAAAAAACTGAATGTGAGAAAAGGCAAAATTCAGAAATACTCATTGTACTGAACAACGTGGGTTAAAATGAGCTTGCTTTGCTTTTAACATTGTCTCAGATTGCTTGGCAAATTTACCTCAGGCTCTTGTGTTCTTGGCATCTGTTTCTGATATCTCCACTTAATGATCTGGGTCTTTTCAAAATATTGGCATTTTTTCATGTTCACAGTGTTTTTGCTATACTTCATATTGTGGATTACTCTTGAAAATAATATTTTCTTGAAACAATAGGAAGGTTTTATCTCACATTCAAATTGGCATATACGTATAATCATAGTTCAAGTGGGTAGCTATGCCAGCATGCGTAGGCTGCAAAGAAACAAGTAAAGGTTTATTCCATGCCGAAAAGAGAAGAAAGGAAACACAATGTTTCGGCTGTGGACTCTTTGATGACGAAGCAGCTATACCTCTGTACCTGAACATACTGGGAAACACAGTCAGAGCAGCATTCAGCCCTGAGGAATCTGTCAGCTGTTTGTCTTTTGGACAACCAATGATAGACTTAATTTGAGCCATAACTGAATTGCCAATAGACCCAGCAACTGACCTTGTAGTGGCATTTAATTTCAATGTGCATTTGCAGTT